CACAATGTCGAGCAGAAAATTCAAAGAACAAAGAAATCAATACAGATCATCAGGTTACTCAAATACCATTTCGTCATGCACAAGTCCAGTGACCTGCTATCACCTGGGACTCGCAATAATGTCCGCCTTGTGACTTCGTTCACAAGCTGATCAATATTGATTTAATAGCTTTAAGTATAATGATAAAAGTATATTAGAAAAGAAGATTTATACCAAATGAATAAATATCTGATGGTTGACCTGATAAAACCTTTGGTGCAATATAAGGTAAATTTAGCAGGCGATGTAAGACCTAAATCCGTAATATAAGATGTTCAAATCTTTATGAATATATCCTTGTGAATGAATAGCTTCAAGATCAGATTCTATGCAACTTAATAAATTTCCATTTCATTTGCGATACTTCGCGAAGATTATTACGTAAAGAACTTTTGCATATTTCAAAATAAGAATATAATTTCTGAATCATCTCTCGATAACCCGTAGCACCTTAAGAACGATGGATTTTTTATATCGGATCTCGCAAAATACTTTCAACTTTAAAAAAAGAAAATATTAATCATATAATTTAAATATTAAATAAATCTTGATAAATTTACCTCATTAAAAAAACTCTGATCATGAATCATTTTAAATGCGAACAAATAATTACGGCTGGAAATCTGAGAAACAATTTTGCAATTAGCACTATAACTGGTTGCAAATCTTCCTTTTCCAATCTCTTTAATAATTTATTATATGGGATCCATAATAATTGATACTTCTCATCATCCAATATTTTTTCGACATTATTATCGATACCAGAATAAGAGAACTTCTTTATTTCTGTTTAAAAAATTAAGTTGAACTATTAAATATAAAAAATAAATAAAAAGAATATTGTACAAGATCATTACCTTGAAAATTGCTTCTTTCCCTATCTTTAAATTATTAATATTACTTAATATTTTTACATAAAAATTAAGAAGAAAATCTTTACATTTTAAACCAATATTCAGCTTCCTTTAGGTCCTTTTTTGTTCTGATTACGTTGTGATAAAAATAGCCAATTTGTTGCATTCCTCCATTTTAGCTGATTTTTCAAAGGCTTTTTTCAAATTTATTTCAATTTCAGTTCCATGTTGATAACAACTTCCAAGATTATATGCTCTTACCATATATCCCATATCGTCAGCTTTTGGTAATAAATAAATGCTTTGTACTCATCCAATTCCATTATTTCGTAAAAATAACCAAGCTTACATATTCCATTAACGTGACCGTTTTAAATCAAGTTTTTTTTGATTTCTGGAAATAAAAAAAAATCGCAAGACACTGACCAGGAGGTGAAAAAACAATATAACTTGTTTTTCATGAAAATATGTATATGCTATTGTCTACGTAAGTGGGTAATAACTGTTTTATTCCCAGGTTTTTATTATACTTCTATACTATTTTTCAAATTAAAGTTACGTATTTCATAAAGTTTAGCTTTATCACAATTACAATACTTGTTTTATTTTCCTTTAGCCGATGATTTTTACTTTTCATTAACGTAAAAAAAGTAAATAAAGATATATAATCAAAAAGAAATATACAAATTCTGAATCAGCCAGAATCTGAGATCTGGGAAATAAGCGAGAAAAATAGTACAGAAGTATACAATATTGGGCAAAATTTGTCGAATAACTGTAATTTGGAAAACCCGGGGCAAATTATTGTATTCGACAAATTGCCCAATATTAGTAGTATTGTTGCTTTGTATATGCCGCAGCATATTAATATTTGAAGTGCCTATTTTGCACATGCTTTTTTGATAAAAAATTTCGTACACAAAATATTTTTGACAGTTCCGGTTGAATCAGAATGGTATGGTCTACAAATTTTGGCCTGTACTATATATACGAATCTGAATACCCATACCATACTGGTCTACAAAATACCTCACATTTCAGGTATGCATTTTTGAGTATAGTTCTGAAATTTGTTTTTTTTCTGTTATTACTGCTGGCTTCACTTTTGAAGTACTGTAATTCTTAAAATTATGCAAATCCATTCATATTCGTAATTTAAGAAAAAGAATTTATTTTTAGCAAATATATATAATAAAGGTAAAATTTTAATAACAAAGTACTGTATATTTTAAAAAATCTTATTCATGAAAATAACTGCAATAATGTTAATGAAAATCTTATATAAGTCAATAATTATTTGAGTAACCTAACTTCAAATATTTTGTTACCAATAAATTTTTTTAAATTTCAACAAGAAAACAGGACTTTTTACAGTATGTATAATATTTTGTATTCTTTCTTTTCAACATGAAGTTTTCATCTAGCTCTTTCCTTTTTCATTACCTATCATATTATCTAACATTCTTCTATACCAACTATCAATATCTTTAGAATGTTTTCTCTCAATTTCTAGTTCGTTTTCCAAATTCTTAATTCGCTTTTGATCTTCTTTTTGTAGCTCGATTAATTGAGTGATTTGTTCTTGTAATCGGTCTATTTTATTTTCTACTCGTAATAAATCATTTTTTGTTTCCTGGTTGTTCCGCAAATTTACGGGATTATTTTGATTCATCGACCGTAAATCGAAGGGATTATTGCTCCTTGCTAAACGTGCACGATCGTTTTCACAAAAAAAGCAGAGGTTAAACTGATTACGGTCACGTATAGTCGATTGGCATCTGACACAATACATGATTTTGATTATTTTATAAAGACTGGCAGATAGTCTACAAACTTTTGTAAGTTTATTTTACAACGGGTAGTTAATGATTGAGGGATATGTATTTACCCCCTATTTAATTTTGACCGGTCTGCTTTGCTATATAAATTTATGCGGTGTAATGGTCTTTCTGCATTTGATAATGTAGTGTAAGATATGTTTACTATGTATGGTTGGT